TAAACCTGCATAAAGGTGTTTACCAAGCCACACGTGGAGAGACCCCTTGGATGAATGTTCAGGAGTGGTTGTGAGCATTAATGAGCATTAAATGGTGATGAGATTTATCAACATCAAAAATCTTGTAATAGGATATTTTGCATCATTACCTAAAACCTGAGCCAGCAGTTCTGCTTTACCAAAAACAACGTAAACCAAGCTCTGACCTTGGCCTCTTGCTGCCTCAGCAAGCTCTGAGAGTTTTCCAATATGCTCCTTTGATCTGTCTTTACAAACTCTGGACTTAGTGATCCTGCTTCAGTACTTTACCCAATTTGCTGATCCCATTACCTTCTGATCCCAGTACGTTCTGAAGGAGTTCCAGGCTTTGTTGTTTTCTCTAGCAAACTCTGACTGAACTTCTGCGTAGCTGCTGAAAAAAGCCATGTTTTGTTTAAAGATCATGTGCTGAAACATGTTTACAATCTTTGACTGAGTTGGTGTAACCGCTGAAAGAGCCATCTTCTGACTGAATGCTATGTGCTGAGCCAAGTTTTCCGCTTCTGACCGTTTCTGCCTGGAGGTTGGTTCAAAAGTTCTGAAGTGCCATTTTCTTCTTAACACCCATTTTTTTTTAGAGAAAAATTCCAAATGTCTAGAATTTAATCTTTCCAAGGTAAAAGATTTGCCTTTAGAGCTTGTGTGATGAGAAATGTTGATGAATATAGGAGGGCAAATTTTGGGGTACAACACGTGGAATGGTAGTGAGGTGAACCAAATTGTTCATGATATTGGTGGCTCCGGTCCTAGATGGCATGGATTCAGGAGTGATATTGATACCACATGCATTGAGTCTGTGAGTTTGTCTCATTGCATTAAATTCTTGATAACATAGTGTTTGGATTGCATAATTGGTGTATGTGATATGTGATGATTGTTGACACATGTGATGAATTATGCATGAATGATTAGTATTGTATGATAAGGCTGTGATTGTTATATGAAGGTGTGAAATGTGTGACTATGCATGATTTACTTGATGTATATTCATTATTATGCATTCTCTTGTATTGTTGTAATATCTCACCCTTTTGTTGGAATGATGCTTTATACGACATTGTGCAGATAGTTAGGAGTAGTATGAGACTGCAAGGATCAGAAGAGATTGCTCTTTGTTTACTTTCGAGTCGATGTCATTACTCTGATACGTAACACTGGGGGATGAACGCTATTATTTATTGTTTTGTTTTTAGTAATTGTTTTGGAGGCTCGGGAACTCCTTATGAATTTTGAATATGAATTGATTTATTTTATAAGACTGTTGGATTTCAAATATTATTTTTCCGCTGCATTAATAAAAGTTGAAGTTGAGACATGTTACTTTTCTTTGGTTCATCCGAAAATTTGTGTTATGTATCTATTACTATCTATGAGAAGATGTTTGTATGTTTTTGAAAATGTGACATCCTTATTTACTTGGAAATTACTCTGATATTTGTTTATTATTCACTGGGTAGTTTGGGGTGTTACATTCGTCTTCTCTTGTTCAATACTTTGAGAAACTTCATATATCATTTCAAGATTATCCCACATTTTCTTGGTGGTTACAACGATGAACATAATAAAGTTTACTATCATCTAGAGACATTATTATAAAATTATTGGTTTTAAGATCCATTTCCAACCTTCTATTTTCCTCTTTGGTCCCAAGGGAATATGGTTTATCTACTACTTTATCATTTACTTGATGAGTATGGATATACGGAACATTGAATATTGTTTCTCATAATTCATGATTTATACATTAAATAAAAATTCTAAACCTAGCTTACCAAATATCAAACCTACTATTACTTAAAAATGGTGGTGTATTTAAAAAAGATCTCTTGTTGGAAGTCATCTTTCTCCTGAGACGAATAGTCCTTAAACAAAAGTTAGACTTTGATGCCACTAGTTGGACATGTGACTTCACACACGAGGAGACTGAATTATATGGTTCATAAAAATGTGGGTTTGAAAAACTTTACGGATTACAATAAAAGTTTAAAAACATTGTAAATATTAAGCAATCGAAAAATAAATTAGCGGAATACAAATTGCAAAAGCAAATATTTTAGGGAATAGAAAGAACACGGATAATTATAGATGTTCGGTTAAAAAAAGGAATTACTCCTTTTCTCAAGAATTGATCTTGAGAGTATCCAATAAACGTTGAGAGCTTTTAGTAGGTAATACTCACGAACTCCCATATACAAGGAAACTGGTTGGCTTACAACCAAAACAATAAGACCATGGATTTAGCAGTTTGAGTGTTCTCTTTTAAATGGTGGATCAAAGCGAATAGTCTCTTTTTCACGCATTAGATTGAAGATGTTAGTCTTTTTTCCACTAGAATCTTGGAGCGATTGGTATTCAAGATTTTAAACAAACTTTGTAAGCTTTTATCACGGGCTGAACTCACTAATCTTAAAACTTGGTTTTATCATGGGCTAACCAACAACCTGAAAGATTTTAATACCAGACTAATCTCGAACCTTATCCAAGATTTTACCACGGGCTAAGCTTTAACCTAATCTTGGTTTTACCTTGGGCTAACCACCTAAAGAGATTTTACCACGGGTTGATCTCGAACCTAAGAGAGATTTTAATACGGCCTGATCTCGAACCTAAACAAGGGATTGATCACATAATTCTCAAACCAAAGCTTTTATCGGGTTTAACTTATAACCAACAAATAATCTCTGAATGGATAATATTTAACCAAGGTGTATACAAAATATTCCTTTGGTGAATTTTACAATTCTATCATTCCGTAATTACAACTTATCCTCACTTCGATTAAAATATTAGTGAGAGAAAGTAAAAGAAAATTTTAAAGAGTGTGTGTGTGAGTCTGAGAAGTGTCAAAACACGAGTATTGATGATTTGAAATGAGGGAAAGGGCCTCTATTTATAGGCCAGAGGTTGGCTCAAAAGGGAATTTGAATTTAATGTTTTTTAAGACTCGCCAATCGATTAACACCTAATGTAAATCGATTAAATATCTAAAATATAATCGATTGTAAGTTCAAAATAGGAAACAAAAGATATCTAATTGTTGCACATCATTAAGGTGTTGTCCTAGTCACATCAATTTTGAATTGAGCCAATCGATTAGGTTAATGTGTTGATCGATTGGCAAAGACAAAACTTTGGCCAGAGCTATTTGACATCTCCTGATTCATGTGGCACAACTTCAAGACATCTTTTAAGATTTTTTTTTTATAATAATCAATTTGAAAAGATGTTTTAGTGTGTGTGTCGCGCACACACTTTAGCCATGTACTTTCATCAGAACGCCTTTATGCTTTACAAAGTATTCACTCATATTAATTAAGGTAGAAGTTCTTTGCACTTTAAGACTTTGTCAGATTCTTTCTTTTAAAGACATGTGCTTGAGTTTCCTTGAGATGAGACTTGAGTTATATTTTCATTTTATTGCTATCATTAGAAAGTCATGTCTATCAAACCCTATTACTTAAAGTTTGCATCTTTATCCGCTTAATCTCTTATGTTTGGCTTGTCATAAGACATTAAATCAGTAGACATTAGATTTCATCATCAAAATTGGTTGTCCTTGTTAAAAGCATATCACCTGCAAAATAAGATTTGACACAAGATTAATACTTCAACGCTTAAGTTAGTATGATAGTGAAAAGTGACGTATGAATGAAAATAACTTTGAATATTTGAGAAATGACATGTTTTCCATCTTAAACAAAAGAAATTGTTAGCAATTGTATGCGTGAAGTGAAATGTGAATCGCGGTCAGTTATCATATTGATCTAAACAATCAGTAAAAATTTCGTACACGTGGAGTCGCTTGTGAATAAAAGAAAATAAAATATATCTATTCAGCGATTTATTATTTCATATTATCATTTGGGCTTTATCCTTTAAGCCTGACGGGTAAAAAAAATGGGAAATCGATTTTTTTAAAGAAAGTTGAATATTTTAGATTTTTTTTTTTGGAAAAAAAGAGATTATTAGAGTAAAAAGGCACTTGTAATCACTTTAATTAAAATGATATTTCTTTTTATATAATAGATAATAAATTAGTCATAAATTAGTTTCTAAAAAGTCACTTTCATTTATTTAACTATTAAAATTTATAAATATAATAAAATGTTTAAAATTTTGGAAGTTTTTTTTTTTTGGAAAAAGAGGATTATTAGTGTAAAAAAGACACTTATAACTCACTTTAATTAAAATCACACTACTTTACATATATTAGGTAATAAATAAGTCATAAACTAGTTTTTAAAAAGTTACTCTCATTAATGTAATTATTAAACTTTATAATATAATAAATTTTTTAAATTATATGAGGTCAACAATTTTAATTTTAAATATATTTATAAATTCATCAACTTAATCCATAATTTTTTAATAATTAAAATTAAAATTAAAGATTTTATACATAATATCACCAATTTATTATATTTCCATAATTTAGCTATTAAAATAAAGATATATCGATAATTTAAAAATTAAATTGATAATTCAAACCAATAATATGTAAAATATTTTATAACTTATTTTTTGTCAATAATATATAAAATATTTTATTTTATTCTGAATTAAATATGTCTGATCCTTCTAAATATCTCAATTTTTGTTTTTAGTTTTTCAAAATATTCTTTTCAAAGAATAATTTTTTTAAATTATTTTATCTATATTTTTGGTCTTTACGACAATTTAACTATAATTTTTACAATTTAATAATAAATTAATGATGATTTTAACGAAAATTTATTATTTAGTGATTGAATTAATGACAGTTACTATTTTAATATTAAAGATTAAAAAGTATGAATGAAAAATTTTAAGAAAATTATTGTTTAAAAAAAAAAAATATTTAGCCCTTTTATTTTTTAGTCAATAATGTCAAAAGGGGGTGAATGAAATACCATAGAAATTTATTTAAAGAAAGGTCCCACCGCAAGTAACCAATGACCCACATACCTATTAGCAAAAGATTAATGGAAAATCAAAATGGGCCGCATTTGGTTCTAATACCTCCACCATTCCATGGCCACATGACTCCTATGCTTCAACTAGCCACAGTCCTTCATTCCAAAGGCTTCTCCATCACCATAGCACACACCCATTTCAATTCCCCTGATCCTTCTAATCATCCTAATTTCAATTTTCTACCCTTCTTTGATGGTTTATCTAGTACCCAAATCACTTCCAAGAATTTCGTAGATATTGCTTCAACTCTAAGTACCAATTGTGTAGCTCCACTTAAGGAGACATTAATTCATCATATGGCCAAATTAGAAAAAAAATGATGAAAAGATTGCTTGTATAATCTATATGATGGATTTTTTCATTTCATCGATTCTTTGGCTAAGGAATTAAAGCTACCAAGTATTGTCTTTCGAACCACTTGTGCTACTAATTTTCTCACTTATCACGTGTGTGCTCACCTACAAACCAAAGGGTACCTTCCCTTGCAAGGTTGTATATTATTTTAACTTCATGTTTTCTTTCACAAATTACTTTTTTGAAATCATTGTTCTTACAATTTATTTCAATCCAATCTTGTAACCCATCTTGCCCAAATGTAATGGATGGTGTGTGACTCGATCCCTAAAAAAAATTAGACATGAAAAAAAAAATTTGATTTAGTTGAATCTGACTATCTCATTTTAAATCTAATTAATTTAAAATGAGACTAATTAACATGTATGATGAATGACATTGACAGATTGTAAGTCGTTGGATTTGGTACCAGAACTGGAGTTGCTGCGATTCAAAGATCTACCTATTTTCAATTTAAGAAATCCACATGATTTCCTTCATTGCACATCTAAAAATCTTTCAATAACACCTTTAGCTGTTATTTTCAACACTATGCAAGGCTTAGAAGATTCATCAGTAATTCAACTCCAGCAGCTACACAAAATTAACCTCTTCCCCGTAGGTCCTCTACACATGATTGCCAATGAGTTCAATAATATCAGCATTATGCGAGAAAGTGATGGTTGTATATCTTGGCTAAACAGCAAAGCAAGAAAATCTGTGTTATATGTAAGCTTAGGAAGCATTGCTAGTTGGGAAGAGAAAGAGCTAACTGAAATGGCTTGCGGATTAGCGAACAGCGGGCAAAGTTTTGTTTGGGTTATTCTACCGGAGACAGTAAACAATGTTTCAGAATGGTTAGAATCGTTGTCGGAAGATGTTAAATTAGGTGTAACAGAGAGGGGTTGGATTGTGAAATGGGCACCTCAAAGTGAGGTTTTGGCACATGAAGCTGTTGGAGGTTTTTGGAGTCATTATGGTTGGAATTCAACATTGGAGAGTTTGTGGGAAGGAATACCAATTATTTGTCAGCCCCATTTTGGAGATCAAAGGGTAAATGTTAGATTGTTGAGCCATGTTTGGAAGGTGGGTTTGGAATGGTGTAATGTGATGGAAAGAGATGAGATTGAAAAAGTGGTAAGAACACTTATGGTGAATCAAGAAGGGGAAGAATTGAGAGAAAGAGCAACTGAATTGAAGCATGAGATTAGATTGGCTACAAATGGTTCTTCCTCGGATGCATTAAATGGGTTGGTAAAATGCATCTTGTCAATAAAAATGTCTCATTAGTGATTTCACAACAAAATAAAAGTTCTTACAAGTAAGAAACTTGTAAACACCAATTTTGAGTGTTCAAGTATCATTTCTCTAATTGAATAAAAGTATTTCTTTTAATTAAAAATTGCATTAAGATCTGAAGATCATAACATAATATAGATAGATCCTCTCATCTTGGAGCTCCACCAACACATCTTGAAGCACCACCTACCAGACGTGAGCTCTAGGTGTTTCTTTCCAATCCAGACGGGTGTTAACGGATGATCCGAAGCCGAAATCAGGGGAGAAGAGAGAGGGAAGTGAAAATCCATGAAAGGCTCGAACTGATACAGGGGATTTGGATCCCATAAGTTCAGAGAAGAGTTGGAATTGGAACCGTTTCCTTGACCTTCGTTGATGGGTACTATGGACATCCTTCCTAAAACTGATTTTGTAACAACCTAGTGGTTTCTGTGTACTATTGTTAAAAGCTAACTCTGGAAGAAGGTGTTTATGAATGAATGTATTCTCTTACTTTTGAATTTTCTAGAAACATACAAGAGACTTCTCTTTTTTTTTTTTTTTTAAACCTAAGAGTAGTTCCGTCTGGATTCACATTACACGTCTATCAAATCATCATTAAGTATTGATATGTACTTATAATAAATTATATATTCAATTTTTTAACTACAATTTTGTTAAACAATAGTGAAAGAAAGATTTAAAACGTGAACGTTAAAATGAACAATCTACGGCTAATGTCTCATAGATACGTTCACATCTAGTTGTGAATCTAAACGAGTTAATAAACTCCAGTTGAATTCAAATGAGTTAATTCTAAAAATTTATTAAATATGTTTTATATATTAGTCTATTTTTTCAAACCTAAAATGTATGACAACTCCCTGTTAAATTGTAAACCTAAAATCTTCTTATTAGATCATATTTATATTTTTTTACAAACATAAAATGTATGACCAAAACTCCATCAAAATATAATAAAATGTGTAAAATATGCTCATGCAAGTTCAACATGGAGATTAAAATCAAACTTATAACCTAATCTTCAATAATAATCTTCAAAATAATATTTAAAAAAAAATCATATATAAATCATACAACTGATTTTCTAACTTCAATTATATAAAATATCAGTAAAAGAAAGATTTAAAACATGGATAATTTACGGTTGGTATCTCATAAATACATTCACATCTACTCGTAGATTTATGTCTGCAAGGATCTTTATTACGAACAATCTAAAGCTGTTAAATTGAGAAATAAAAAAAAAACTCTTACATTAATATATTTGAGTAAGAGAATATTAAGTGTTTAATGTCAATCAAATTTGGTTAAAGAGATTCTTTAATTTAGTAAAAAATAAATTTTATAGTAAATTAATATATATAATTGTAACTTATTTCCATTTATAAAATTAATTGTATCAAATAAATTTTTAGACTTTTTTTTCTTTTATTTATTAAAATAAATGTATTTAAAATATTTTTTTTCTTCTATTTTTTCCATTAATTAATATTTTAATAATAATAAATAAATAAATAGAATTGATTAAATATGTTATACAAAAATAATTTTCAAACTCACATTTATATAAGTATAAATTTAGTAATATATTTAAGAATTGGTTTTACAATCATAATTTATATAAATTAAGCTCTAAAATTTATTAAAATTTTTAAAGAATAATTTGACTTTTTTAAACATTAATGACAATATATTTATCAATTTTTATTTTATTAACAAAAATTTAAATCATTAAACTAATGATCAAATATATTAACACTATGTTTAAAAAAACATTTTTTTTGCAAAACTTTATGTTTAAATATTAAATCACATACTAACTCTATGTTTAAAAACAAATGATAAGTTTAAAAAAAAACTTTTGTAAAATGACATAAAACCATGCAAAAATAATTGAAGGTTATTGTTGTACCCCAAAATTTGCCCTCTCATTTTATCAAGATTTTTCTCACAAGACTCTTTGGACTCAAGACCAGATTAAGGTTTGCTCAGCTCAAGACATCTCCTTGCACTGATGACTTGAAATTAGGGTTTAAGTTTACACAAGGATTTTTGGATTTCTAATGCCTAATGTGACTTTCATACTTCATGTTGGACTCCTAAGATCGTTCATATCAAGTTTCAAGCCTTGAATCAAATTTTTGCCCAGTCAATTGGACAGTTGACCTAAAAATCAGCTGTATTGGGGAAAAAGTCAATTGTGGCCAATTTACAGTCAAACCTCATAATTTTTGATCCACATCAACATTATAGACTCATATGAACCATTTTATCAAGTTTGGACCACAACTCCTCAAGAAATTTGATCAGATCATCAAAAGGGTAAAATGATCATTTTTAGGGTTTTGACTGTAGAAGGACAATTTCTGATTTTTCACCTAGCCAATGGTAAATTGGGTTCAAGCATGGTTTCAAGGACTCAATTGCATCATCTTGACCTAATCACAAGGTTCAAAAGATCTCAAAAGCATTGAATTGACAGATGAATGTTCCAGTCAACTGATCAAAAATCAACTGTACACTGAAAAGTCAAACTTTGACTTTTTGTTTAAAATCAAGTGCCAAAGGTCATTTTTCATCAATATGTGTCAAAACATGAAACTTGTTCACCAAGAAACCTAATTTTGGAAATTAGGGTTTAAAATGGAAAATTTTCATAACTTAGAAATTTTCTAAGTTATGAAAATTTCTTATTTTTTCCCAACTTTTTCACCATGATGCAATTGGATTCAAACAAAACTTCCAACATGAAAGTTGTAGTCCTCTATAAAATCTATAACTTTTATACACAAAGTTTTTCCAAAATATGCTTGGATCTCAAGTTATGATTTTGTGAATAAGGGTCCATGAAACTTTTAACTTAGTGAAATTTTGCCCTAGTTTAGGCAGGATTTTGACCTATCTTTATGGCAACTTTTCACCTAGTTCCAAGTGGAATCTCAAAATTCATTTCAAATATGGATTGTATAGCATGTTACAAGCTTTCCAAAATGTCAAATAACTCTCCAAGATCATTTATGGTTAGGGAGAATCGAAAGTTTGAAAAATGGCAAATCATCACTTTTGTCCAAGGCATTTTGCACCATGTTACAACTTGCAAATCTGTCCTAAGCATGCTTGTACTTGGTTTACAGGTTCTAATCTCTTCTACACTCAAAAATTAAATGCAAATACAATGGTTAATGGCATTGTTTTTATCTTTGAAGCTTTGTACAAAGGTTTAATCCAAAAATGGCAAAAAGGCAACATTGCTACTTTGATAAAGCATGCTTTATGTCATTTTTGTTTATCTTGAGCATTTAACCCAATCTCTTGCAGCAAACAAAGTCCATGAATATCAGGAAATTGGTACCAACCCTATGCAGACCTTGAGCTAGCCTGTACAGGCTTTGGCTTTGTCAACTCAACCTTTTCTTCAAAAACAAGCCAACTTGCAAAAGTGAACTTAACGTGTGCATCTGATAAAACCAAACTTTGTGACCATTTGAAAGGACCTCAACACATTGTAGCAAGCATAATACACGAGTTACAAGCCTCTCAAACACCAAAATACACTAAAAACTCCATTTCTGCCCAAAACAGGGCAACTCTGCAGAACCACTTCCAAAACATATTTGCCTCGTGCGTTTTGCTTGAAACCACTTCAAACACATTCTAAACATCCCACTTGAACTATCCAAGCCATTGTTCAGCAACTGTAACTTTGTTTTCAAGCTTCACCATTTTCAATTTCTGAGTTTGCAGGTTGAGTTATATAGGGAGATTCAAACCATTTCAAAGCAAGTTGAGCATTGGGAAAGGTCAAAGGAACTTCAAGCAAGCTCACAAAACCTCCAGGCCTCATTCAAATTTGCTGCATTGCCAAATTCAAACTTGACTGAAACAGGTAATTTTCAAACTTCTATTTCTTTATTTAGGCATCATTAGGCTTAGGTTTGTGAAGCAAAAATATAGTCCTTAATGTCCTTAAGCTGTACATATGCATAACTTGTATTTATATTAACTGAGCTAGGAGAATTTGGATGTTGAAGTTGCTGAAAAAACTAGATCATAAATTAGGGGCACTGAAATTCTCTCTGGTCTTTGAGAGTTAGATCAAGTTTTTTATATCATTAGAATCGTGTGATGATGAGTTATAACTTTCATGTTGCAAGATTTTGTTTTTAAGCACGTATGCAGGAGTTACAAGTTTGAACAAGGGCGCGCGCGTTTTCTATTTCTGGAGGACAGGGACAAAGTGAGTTGGGTTGGGCCTGACTTCTTCTGACTATTGACACCCCCTATTTACTTCCTGCATCCCCTTTGGCCCATTTTCTTCATTTTGTATATTTTCTCATTTCTTTTATATTTTCTGACTTTTATTATTTTTTCTAAATATTAAAAATCACCAAAAATATTTTCTTAATTTTTACATATTTATTTTATTATTTTTATTATTTTTTTGGGCATAAAAATAGTTTACTAACAATGTATACTTTATTTTTCTTAAATAAATTGCAAATAATATTAAAATACTTACATATTTTATTTTATTATATTATACATATAAAATAATATTTTCTCACATATTTTGATTTTTTTAAAATTTTTGCATATATATTTATTTATTTTCTTGTACATAAAAAATGAATAAATAAATAATTAGAATATATATTTTCTTTAAAACAAAAAAAACTAGGGTTTTCACCCTTTCAAAATTAATCATTTTATTTTCTTATTTTTAGGACATAAATAAATTTATTTTACATACATAAAAATTAATACAAAACATTTTTGCATATTTACATTTATTTGCATATTTAAATATTTGTTTATTTTATTTATTTGTACAAATAAATTCAATATGGTTGTAATAGTTTTAGGGTTTTATTTTGAGCAATATCCCCCTATTCAAACTTGTACCCTCCTTCCCATAATATTGTTGTAATAGTCTTAGATTTACTTTTATGCAATTTATCGTATTATATGCATGATAGTAAGATTAGGGT